TGGTCCTGAATCTGCATGTCAATGAGAAGCCCCACCCACCTCATGTTCAAACTTTCTATTTGTGAGGGGCATGAGAAAGGTGGCTTACTTCAAGCCCTGGATGAATAGAGGAGCTGCATCCAAGGCCTATCAAAAGCTAAATAGTGACTATTTATAACTGTTTCATGCAGATCTACTTTAGCATAAAAATACAAATCTCGAGCATGAAATTTCACCCAGTACATCCCTTTTTATCTTATATCCCACTTTAAAGGCACACATCACGATTTTTTTTAATTCCATGATTGTTTACCAGTAAATGCTTACATTTAAAAAATTTGAAAGGAGCTTCAACATGCAGACTCGAACTGAAGATGATTTCATATCAAGCACTTACCAGCAGTCTTAAGGGTAACTTTGCTAGGTTTACTGGCTCCCAGTACGATAATACGTTCAATCCAGGAATCTGTAGTAAACTTGGCATCAGGAGCAAGGTTACTGTGGATCAGGCAGACACAGAGTTAAATTGTTGGATTTGTATTGTTGATTATCATTTATGCTTAGAAATATCTACTTATATATGCTTAGAGTTTTATAATTAGTTTTAGATTGGTAGAGGTTTGATCCTTAATAGTCTGCAGAGACGTTGTGTGCATTCCAGAGTGTTCTGGCTTCCACACCCACATTCTGGGAGCATGGGTGAAGGCATACCTTCTCTTATTGTTTTATGGTAGGATAAACGTAGCTATATCTGTTTTAGTCTCTTTTCTTATTTAGACTATTTTTGCTTTAATTTTTTTCTTATTCCTTGTTTTCATATTTATTGCTTGTGTTTGAATTCATATTCTTGTTGGCTTTAACTAATTTAATTTCACTGTGAGTATATGTGTTTGAATAACAAAAGATTATTGAAATCCATTGGTCTATGCATTTAGAGACTTCACGATCCATTTCTTACATTCCACTAACTACCATTTTTCTGAACACAGCCATACATGTTCTTCTGCTTCAAGGTTCAATGTTTTAGGCAGCCAAAAAGAAGTGAGAGCCCCCTGACCTATTTCCACTTTCAAATAGCAAGTAAGGTACTTGATAATTAGCATTAACATAGTTGATTGTAATAAGCAGTTATTAGATTACTGTTGCTTCTCTATCAGCTTTTAGTGCCCATTCTGACGCTCTACTCTACAGCCCATCTTTACCACGTCTACATCCCTAAATGTAATGAGTTCCTGCCATGTGATTAGCAGATTAGACACTTGCATTAACAGT